TTTCTCACCTGAAAGGGAGGCATTATATGAGAAAGATCACTTGTAAAGGCTTCAGCCTAGAGACACAGGCCCTTTAGGAAATTGAGATTTAACTTGAAGAGTATAAAATGCTTGTTCACACTTATAAACAGACCAATAGTACTTCTGTATGAGAATAGTGGATTACAGCTGAAAAGGGAGAAAGATACAAACATTGTCTGGGGATGAGTACTTAGGAAAATCCATAGTCAAGAAGGAAGTAAAAACAAAAACACTAAAGGAATTTGGAGCCTTTGGTATGTACAGGTACAGCAACCACTAGCCCATGTCCCAGTCAGATTAACATAGATTCTCATACGAAAGGTCCATTTATCTCAGCACATTGACTTGATGTGTACACAAAGACCAGCTTTAAATATAAAGATTCCGGTTAAAAGTAAACAGATTTGGAAAAATGTACTATATTGTAACTAATTAAAATAAGCTGGACTAGCTATATTATTTATAGAAAAGGCAGTCTTTAGAGCAAGGACATTATCAGAGATAAAGAGGAGTACTAGATAATAATAAAGGAGGAAATTCTCCCAGAAAACACAATAATTCTTAATGTGTATGTACCTAAGGAAAGTATGTGAAAAGATTTTAGGCAATACCTGATAAAACTGACAGGAAAAATAAGAAGCCCACTATTTTATCTGGAGACATCAAATACCTTGTCAATCATTGATATGTCAAACAGGCAAAAACCTAATAAAGATATGGTTGACTGTTTCAGCACTATCAAGCAGCTTAATCCTACTGGTATTGACAGAATACCCCTTCCATCAACAAAAGACACTGTTTTTGTTTGTTTGAGTATACATGGAACATTCACCAAGACAGACCATATTCTAGGCCCCAAAACACAGCTGAACAAACTTACAAAGAAGCAAATTATTCAAAGTATGATCTTAAATCACAATGGATCAAAGCTAGAATTAAATATCAGAAATATACTTAGAGGTGTTTAAATATTTAGAAATTTAAAAACTCACTATTAAATAGCACATCAGCCAAAAAAGAAGTCTCAAGACAAATTTAAAAATATTTTAAACTAAATGGAAATTAAAATATAATTTACCAAACTTTGTGTGATGCAGAACAATGTCTTTATAGGTTAAGAATTGAGTTACACATCATTATACCTACCCTTTGAGTTCAGATTATAGCTCCTTATTCAAATGTATCCATATGTGATGCTTATAATAATCTTGTTCTAATAAAATTCAGTGCATTTTGTATTCAGCATATATAGATGCAAATTGACCTTGTAGAAGTTTTCTGGGTTTTTATTTTTGGCTTTTTTATTTATTTAAATTTCCTTGAGATGGAAATGCAATACATCAAGTCACTGTCTCTTAGAAAATATAAATGCACAATAATTAGGGACCCAGAGAATTCTGAGAAGCATGGGATTAGCCACACAATAATGTGAGCTCACATCTGCAGCTAGTCTAAAAATGTCACACAGACCTAATTCTTCAAGGCAAGTATAATTTTTTCCTAGCACTTCCATGTGGAAATAAATTGGTGATGGTGTTTGTTTAAACCCATTTACTACTTATTTTTATTGTTTCATTTCAACTAGGGAAAATAATGCACTGTGCATGTTGATATTTCTGTAATTTTATGACTTAACTGCCACAAAACATTGCTTAATATTGCCTAGTGATCCTCCTATTTTGTCTTAACATTCTCTCATATTTTCCTCATTGTTTATTTCAAATTTTGTCCTATGTTGTCCCTCCAAAATCAACATCTCCACCAATCACCTCCTATTTCATAGTGAAAATAGATCTCACAAGATAAATTCCTCAAGTTCCTGCCACCAAAGTCAGAACCTTCATAATCTACGATGGTCTTGCTGCTTCTTTCCTACTCTGCTCTGTGTTCCTTGCTGAGTATTCTTTCATACTTATGGTATCCCTATGTGGTCTTTGCTTATTATTTAAAGAAGGTCAAGTCTTTCACATTTTAAAACAACCTTTCAGCAACTTTACATGTATAATTAAATATAAAAATATATGATTAGTAGGATCAGATTTAGAATTCCAGCCCTTCTTCTGTGCTCATCTCTGTGTATAGCATTAATGTCTGGATACTTCTACAAGAAAATCATTCAGAAGGACTTCAAATTTAATATATGCACATGTGATTCTGACATCCCATCTCCCTTACAGTCTTGTTTCTCACCTGTTCCTCCTGGGTTTCTTTCTCTCTCCTTAGGTCAACAGCCTTCAAGATTAGTGTCCCTGCCTTCTCCACATGTCTCAACTCTCCCGGTTGTATCCACTATTATGTACATTCCTCACTCTGCAAATAAATTGATGTCATTAAAATAAAAATTGGTCTTGTTAATTTACCACATAAAATCTTCAGGAAATTCTCCATTGCCCTAACAGAAAATGTAAACATCCTTTCTAATAAACCTATTGCATGATAGTAAGTAATGAGTTTTTCTGAGTTCTGTGAATCATTCTGGCAGATTATTGAACCTTAGGAAGGGGTTGTGGGAAACCCTGAATTATAGCCATTTGGTCAGAAATTTAGGAGTGTCAGTGATTAGCATCCAAAGTGGTGGGGGTGGGGGTGTAGTCTTTTGTACCATTAACCTGTGGGGTCTGGGTGGTAAGTATCAGAATTCAATTAAATTTAAGAGACCAAGTTGGTGTCCACAGAGTATTGGAAAATTTCTTGGTATGGAAAACTCCCACATTTGGTGTCAGAAGTGTTAAGGATAAAATAGTTTTTCCTTTGTCTTTAAAAAAAAAATGTAAACTCCTTTGTTGATGATACTTGTCCCTCTTGATATACTATCTAAATCATAAGTTCATATATTATTATACTTTATTTTCTCTTTGTACTTAAAAGCTCAACTTCTCTTACTTCTTCAAAGATATCCAGTGTCACACTCATCCCAAAATATTTGGCTAGATCCCTTCTCCTGGTATTCCCCTCCTGGGCAATTTCCCAGATGATTCCATTTCATTGTCTAAGTATATCATTTTTTCCTGTTAAATGTAACTGCTATGTGTTTCTATAGGTCTCTAGACTATTTTTTACAACAAATTGATGATGTTGCTTGTCTAGTAATCTGTCTCCATTAAGTTTTTAGTTCTTTACATTGGTACTAATTTCATTCAGTCATTGATGAATTTCTAGTACCTAGCATATTTCTATGCATATAGATTAGAATCAAATATATTTGTTTAAAGTGTTCTTTATGCAGTAGCAAGCTTAATTTAAGTTCAGAATTTATGATTAATATATTTCAAATGAACATAATCACACAGAACTTTTAGTTTTAAGAAAGTTATAATTTAACCTTTCCTATATGCATATTAAGGTAATATATTACTTATGCAAATTCATATTTTTATAGATTTCTAACACCCACAACTGAATTTTCAGAGAGGTAATTTATAACCCAAATTTAATTTCTACATGATCTAAAATAACCTTTAAGATATTGGACTTACCATAGATATTTAATATTAATTAGCAAATTAGTTGCATATTATAATGGTATACATATTTTATTTTAACAATATGTAATTGATAATCAAGGCATATTAGAAATGCTAAGATTTTGAATCTGAAAAATGTAGATTTTAATTGCCTAGTGAAATTGGATAATAACGAAAGGTACCATTTATTGAATGACGTATACATTTAAATAGCCTAATTCAATCTTCAGTACAACCTTGTTAATTCAATACTACTGTGTTAATCTCTTTAAATTAATACATTTAGTACATTCTTACCTGTAGAGGGGTGAAACAAATTAAAGCTCATGTGGCCTAGGAAGATAGAATGAATAAGTAACATAACTGAGATCCAAAGAGCATATATTTCCATTATGTCATTTATGTTTCTTCTCTGGATTTGAGTTTTGTTGTGAGGTTTATAGTTTATTTATTAATCAAGAAGTATAGGGATTTACACAGAGGAAAACCTCAATGATTGGTAGCTACTACTTTTTAATTGGGTCAATATATTAATCCCAGTTTGGTTTCTTGCCCTCTTTCTGGGAGCAGTGATGTCTTCCAACAGACTTGATCTCCTGACACCACCTTTCACACCAGTGGTGAGCGATGAAAGAGAGCATTTCTACCACACTACCTCTATTTATCATCCTTCCGTTACATCATTATATGCCTTCTTTTCCCTTTTTTGCCTTCCATGCTTCCACCATTCCTTCAGAACTTGGATGAAGATTCATTCTAAGTTTAGTCATTTGTAAAACAGAATTTTATGGGTCTTTAATATATGTGAGAACTTCTACTTCCTGGATTGCCATTAGAAGAACAAGATTTGTCACTAACAGATACCTCAGGGCTTATGTTTGTGTGAAAATATTATATAGATATTATATTTAAACTATTTTATTCTTAGTTTATGTCTTTTAAGGATTTTTTCTCTAAAACTAATCAGGGAGGGAAGGGATACTTATATCTGAAGGATGTCAAAACCACCCATAAAAATAATCTTAATTATTGCTGTGTTTCAGTTATATTCAAGTTTGCTATAAAAGACTACAGTAAGTTGCTGATTTAATTATGTAATGATACCAAACCTTTTCATAATCAGGCGATTATATATGGCAGGATGAGATACAACATAACAATCACATTTCCCCTGACATTGTTTCACAAAGATGCCTAGCTGTTAGTGACATGATCTTTGCAGAAAACAGCTAAGAAATTTTTGAATCATTAAGTAATTTAGGAAAACTTTCACTAATGATGTATATCTTTCTGTTTAAAGGGATATTTAAAATGGCTGAACCTACTGCTTCTTGATCAATATATAGCCATCAAGTTTCCTTGCACATTAGGAAAAACAAAGAAAATCAAAAAGCCAGTTCCCAGGAATTCCCTGGGCAAGACCTCTGCTTAGAAATGTCCAGCAATATTAAAATCCCATGTTGAGCAATCATTTATGACATTTTCATGATAGACTGTAAAATACAGTTTCCTATAATGACTAACAGCTCAGTTATGCTTCTAAGCTTGTTGATTCCTTCACAGCATGTCTACAAATGGAGAAACAACATGTAAATGGCAATTGGTGGAAGAATGGCATACGCAGCCCTCATCATATGTGGTTAATTGGACACTAACAGAAAACATCTGCATGGATGTCTATGGAGATTCCTGGTTTGAGGACATATGTACTAAAATGAGTAATTCAGGCAATCAGTCTCTTCCCCAGATTTGCCCTTTGCAAATTCAATTAGGAGACATTCTTCTAATTTCATCTGAACCGTCTCTACAATCTCTGGAAATAAATTTGATGAATGTTTCTGAAGCATCATTCACTGACTATCTGCAGAATACCACAACTGAAGAACGGTTACTTTTTGGTTGCAAACTAAAGGAATGCACACGGTGAACTCTAAGTGGCTGGGTGTTGGGACACATTATTTTATCACAGTAATGGCAAGTGGTCCATTGCTTTGTCAATTGGGACTTCGACTAAATGTGACAGTGAAAGAGCAGTTCTGCCAGGAATATCTGAGTTCAGAATATTGCTCTAGGTATGGTCAATGTCGTACTGAAATTTGGAGCAAGACATATAACAGCTATTGTGAGCCTCCATTTTCTGGAAAATACTGCCAGGAACTTGATGCATGTTCTTATAAACCATGTAAAAATAATGCCAATTGCATTAATAAATGTGAAAAAAGGACTAAGCAAGGATATGAATGTATCTGTCACCCACCATTTACAGGTAAGACTACTTTAAAAATAACATAATTATATTTATTAAAATATGAAAGTAAACTGAATTTACAAACTGCTACTTACAAAAATAAATAAGATACTTTTTAAAAAAATCCCAGTTTTTTAGACTGAGCTAATTTTGGATTCTGAATATAGAAAAATCCTATCAGGCAGTCTCTAAAATAAGCTTTTTGCTTATTTAAAGATTTCTTAAAAACACAGCATATGTTTTATACTGAAATACCTATATTCACATTTTTCTCAAAATTTGCTCTTAATTTCTCACTAAAAATATAAGAAGACCATAAAACTATGTTTTAGTCACTCAGTGAAGTTCCCAAGCTTATTGTTGTTTGGGGTAAAAAGTTCTGGGTGATAATGTGGAAATGGAGTGTGAATCTGAGTTGGGGAATATAAGGAACCATGCGGTGTTGGGGGAAGGCACTGGAGTTGCTTGGGAGAATTGGGGAGGAAAAGATCATTGACAGCCGAAACAGTGTCCTTAATGGATGTCAGTGTGGCATCTATAAATGATTGCTAGATACTACTAAGGAAGGAAAGAACATGATATAATTAATAACTAATTGTAATAAGCTAAATGAGAAGTAATGATGAGGTTGTAAAAGTATGATATTTATTGAGCAGATGAAACCAGAGAAAGATAATCTAAAAATAGTGTAAACTATACTTCTGAGACTGAAATGAGAATCTGAGGGAAAATAAACTATCTTTACTTGAATGTTTACTAGGGAATTTGGCCATCAGAAGACGGTGAAGAGAAACATTGAGAGTTGTAAGGAACATGTCAAGTTTGGGAATTTATATGAATTTCTTTTTTACGGTAGTTTCAGAAACATGGAGTGGAGAATTACAAGGATAATGGGTAAAACAAGGACGATTTAGCAAGGTGAAATACTTAGTATTGTTGGCAATAGTAATATGAGAACAGAGATTACAAATTAGTAGTATATGTTGGTCATGAGATTGGAAGGAGAGGAAACAGTATATATTACTACAGCAGGTAAAGCTTAGGGTTGTAACTATAATTTTGTCAGACAGGTTTTAGGAGTTTTCAACAGTCTCCCTTCCATGGAACATGGGAATACTCCTTTGGAGCCAAATTTAAGAAGGTTGTGCAAAAAATATATATATAACATGAGAACTCAGTGAGCCATTGTAAGTTCTAAAATTCACTCTAGCCAAAGTTTCGCAGAGGTTAGTCTCTATAGTTGGGAAGTACCAAGTCTCTTCAGAAATTAATCCCAGCAACATCCACTGAACATCACTACTATGATCAAATTCTCATTTGACTCTACTGTCCTGGTGATAAAATATGTTACCCTACTTATCCTGGAGTATATCACATAATTAAAATTAAAGCAGTTTAGCAAAATAAATAAATAAATAATTTTTTAAAAGTGAAAATACTCGAATTGTTGATTTGGGGTGAATGCAAAAAAAAATAATAATAATTAAAACCTTCTCATCATTATGGATAAATTTTAACCTTCCCAAAGACTTTTTAAAATTTTTTTTATTGTTCAAATACATTTGTGTCCATTTTCCTGCTACCACCTTCCTCTGCTCCCCTTCCCCCCAATCCTTTCCCCCTTTAGCTTTGTTCATGGGTCCTTTATACATCTCCCTTGACTTGACACTTCCCTTAGAATTTTTTCCCTTAGAATTTGATCAGAAAGTTTCTACCATCTATCAGAATATTAACATACATAATCACATATCATGGACTATTATTTCAATAGTTTTATCACAAATATATAAATTGATTTTTTCTTATTCAGTGCTTGTTTGTTTGTTAGAAACACAACCATAGATAATTCACTAGTTTTAAATGCCATGAAATAACTTAATAGTATTATTTATTTTTAAAAACATTGAGCATATACCATTATACTACTATAATTATTAATAATTACTTCAATTTTAAATTTATAAGATACAGAAATATGTATCATTATCCAATGATTTTGTTATTATTTTTCCATTTATTGTTTTATTTTTGTTTTTTTTAATTTTCTTTATTTTTTCCTTTTTATTGTGGTGACGCTAGTTAATAAAATTGTACAAGTTTCACGTGCACAATTCCACAACACATGAACTACCTTGATTGTGTGTTCACTGTCCTAAGTATAGTCTCCTTCCATTACCATTCATCCTCCCAATACTCTCCTCCACCTCCCCACAATCCTTCCTGCTCCCAGAGATTGTTACCCTGATGTCCCTGAGAATGTGCGCTGTATTAGATTGCTAGAGCTACCAAAACTAAGTACCATGATTTGAGTGGCTTTAACAACAGAAGTTATTGGCTGAGTCCTTAGAGGCTAAACTTTCAAGACTAAGCTGTCTGCTGAATGGGTTTCTTCTTCCTTGTCCACAGATTGCCATCTCCCTGTGACTTCACATTGTCTTTCCTCTGTGTGTGTTCATGTCTACGTATTCTTTTCTTAAAAAAGACATCACTTTTATTTGATTAGGACCCATAACCTAATGACTTCATTTAAACTTTATCACCTCTCCAAAAATCCTGTCTCCAACTATTACCATATTCTGAAGCCCTGAAAGTTAGGACTTCACAAATGGGTAGGGGGCAATTTAGCTCATAATAGTCACTAAGATGGAAATACGACATGACCTGTAAACATTCTACTGTTAATTTAGTTTTTATGTATGGAAATATTTTGGCACACAATTACATATACTTATGTTTTTGTTGTGTTGGAGGTTATCTGGAGATAAATGAAGAAGACTTCTGAGGCAGAGATATCAGTTTACTAGGAACATGAAAGATATCATTGATCATGGCAAAAAACTTCTTAAAATTACATTAAGAATTCAGTTAGAATAGGTGATGGGGGTATTTTGTCAAATAATGTGTATTTGTTGTGTAGTAACATTTGTCCAATTGCCATGCAATAGAATTTTGTAGAACATTACTCTATAAAGGATCTTATGAGATGATTAACTACATAGAAGCATATGCTAGCAAAGTTATGGTATATGATATAGTAAAACTATAGTATTTTATGTAAGTAGGCTTTGGAAAATTTGATATAAAAACAAGGGCAAGAAAGTGTAGAATTCAGAATTTTTTGTGTAGCTTCTTAGAATCTAAGCAGCCTTTTCTCTTTTTTCCTCATAATTTAGATTTTATTTTACTGTGGATACAACACAACATTTGATCTGCCCTCTTAAATTTTTAAGGGTATAATATATTGTCAACAATAAGTAAAAGGTTATACAGCAGATCTCTAGAGCTTATGCATCTTGCTTAACTAAAGGTTTACACCCTGGTTCCTCTTCAAATGGTATAATGTTTTTCCCATTTTTCACTTTTGAATCATTACCCTGACTAGGTGGTATATAAAGATATAATGTGTCACTTTGTAAATTACTACTGCAATACCACCAGTGTACATTAAAGAACTTGGCACTTACATGTATCATCATTGAAGAATTGGTACTTATATGTATGATCTACCATCAAAATATAACACATTCCAATTATCATGAAAATTAACTAAAGGTCAAATATCAACAATCAGAAAAATATTTGAATATTAGAGCAAGAGCCAGGAGATGGAAAAACTTTTGTAAACATGTATTGGAATCGTTTCAATTTAAATACATCATTGTAGATTGCCTGTGGGAGTCGGGGGCGGGGTGGGATGGGTGGAGGAGGGCAAAGGGAGAAAAACGGAAACAACCGGAATAGAATAAACATGATTTAAAAATAAAAATACACACAAAACAAAAACAAATAAATAACTGCATCATCGTGGAGCAATGTTTCTTAATTAGAATTACACTGTCAAAATTTTTATGTTATTGTTTAAAAATTTGGGGAAATCAGTGATTATGATTAACTATATAAAATGTAAGTATTTTAATCTGGTGAGACATTAATTTTCTTTCATTTTTGCAGGCATGAATTGTTCAGAAATAATTGACCCATATCAACCACATATCTGTTTCCATGGGAATTGCAGCAATATTACTGCAAATAGCTTCATTTGTGAATGTGATGAACCATATTCACGTAAAAAGTGTGCATATATATGTAAGTAATTTTAATTTTGCCTCATTTATTTAAAATAGAATTAAAATATTTCATTTATTACTGAAAAATATAATTTTAGAGTTTCTATACTGATCTTTTTTAGGGGTAAGATTAATAAATCTGTTTGATTAACAAATAATTAGTTATCCTGCTAAATATTCCACAATATAGAAAGAGTTTGGACACCGGTTGACATATTTTTATACCATAATAAAATATATTTTGTTCTTCAATACTAAAATATCTTTAGAAATAATGTACATTTTGCTGGTAATTTTTATAAACATATCTAACTTATTTCCTTAGGTATGCCATTCCAGACAAATCCCATTTTTTGAAGAATAAAAATTTTGTATTTTTCAAATGAATTTAAAGATGTAAAATGACATCATTATTTAAACCAATAATTCTTAATTTTGATTAAAGGTTTTAACAATGAAAATGTATTTAAACCATTACCTATACCGATGAACTCTTCTACAGTTTTCCATTTTCTGGGAAATATAGCTAAATATCAGTGTATCTGTCCCGCTTCAAAATTTTTTTAGGCAGTGGTATCTTTAGGCACAAATACATACCCTAAAGACTCCTTTTTGGGGAGTGAAACGAAATATGATTGCCTCCCAAACTACAGAGAATGGTAATATTTCAGTGTTTCTCTTGTAGGCCTTTCTACCTAATTAAGTTGAGAGGGATTTGAAACCTTTGGTAGAGGGTGTCAGCTATTGCCTCATAATAAAAGGGGACGGTAACTGCAGGCCGTAACTTCTCTTATATGTGGAACTTAAGAACAAAATGGACAAAACTGAAAGACACTCAAAGATACAGAGGAAAAAGTGAGGGCTGCCAGATGACAGGGTGGTGAGTAGCTGAATAAAAAAGGTAAGGGATTTAGAAGTACAAATTTGTAGTTACAAAATAGTCATGAAAATTTAAAGTACAGCCTAGAGAACATAATCAATAGTATTGTAAAAACTATGTATGGAGCCAGGTGGGTGCTAGAATTGTTGGGGGGATCACTTTGTAAATTACATAATTTTCTAACCACTATGCTGTACACCTAAGACTACTATAGAATAATACTGCATGTCAATTGAAGAATTTGAAAAAAAATGAAATTTTAAATAATAAAAAAAGGACCTTCACTCTATTTAACTGAATCTTTTCTGGCCTTTTTTCCTTTAAGTCTTTTGTTTCCTTGAGACAGGTTATGATTTGAAAGATGTTTTACAGTCTCTTACCATAATCTGCATACATTTGGTAACCGTATAATCTTTCTTTCAAACCATGGCATTTTTTGGCAAAAGAGGTAGCTAAAAGCAGTTACAACTGTACAATATTTGAAACATTTACTTATTGATTGGTAATTTGGTTTCATTAAATTGGCAGACATATAAAGTAGTTTATCTAAAATTACTTTTAATAAAATTCTTTCCAAAAAAATAATTGTAACTTTATACCTACAAATCAAAGGAAAAATTAAAACATACTTTATGTTTTCTAAATATTACAAAATAGTATCAGCAGAAACCAAAGTTAAGCATATTCATCTCTAATTGCAACTTGTTAGTATATTTCTGAAGAATTCGTATGTTTTCCATATGATCTTATTGTTTTAATTTTTCATAAAATCATCTACATCCTTTTCAAAGTTGTATTTATAATTAAGTTTAGAATTATAAGTGAGTCCAGTTGACTCTTCACCAAACTATGCCATTCTTAGTTGAATGAGTACAATTTTCACTGTACTCATATTGATTTTCTGTTAATCTCAAAGTAAAATGTGCTAAATGGAAAATATTCTCAATTCTGATTTTTGTAAAAAATACATACATGAAATATTTTCACCAGAGCACTATTTTACTCTATTCATAATTATTTTCTTTGACAAACATTTTCAAAAATAATTCCCATGATTCCATCGAGTGTTTGGCCAAACTTAGGTGCTGCAAAAGTTCAAGGGTATCCAAATTTTTGGCATCTCTGGCCCACACTAGAAGAAGAAGAGTTGTCTTGGGCCACACATTAAATACATGGTGTCACATAACCACAAAAAAATCTCATAATGTTTTAAGTAAATTTACGATTTTGTGTTGGGCCGTACTCATAGCCATACTGAGCTGCATGCAGCCTGTGATCTGTGGGTTGGACACCCTGGGTCAGCCTTCTCAAAATAATTCCATTTTGTTCTAGTGCATAAATCTGTCCATGAAGTATAGGATCACCTATGATATCGTTTCCCACATGTCCAGCTATTCCAAAGCACAGATATAATGCCTATAATCTTGTACACTTTTGAATTTATTGGATTAGTTTAGTGTCTTCATTGCATTGTGCAGGAATAAATTTTAATGTCTTTTTAAAAATAAGTACAACTCACTTTTAAAACTGATTTTTTGTGCTTAATATATTGTTTTTGATTAAATGCTTATAACTGATTTTCAACAAGGTACAACCAAAATTTAGAGGATTCTTTCACTAAAATGTCAAAACATTCCTGAAACACTTTGGTTTATTTTCAAAGTAATTATTCAGAAGTTTAAACATTACTAAAATCTAAATGTTAATGTATAACAGTGAGAGAAAACACATTCTGCCATGTTACATTTTTTCACTATCAGCTTTGTCACAAAAAATTTAGTGTGCTGTCTTGTGAATATTTAAAATTATTTTTAAATTTTGCAGCTATAGATTCTAATTCAATTGTGTGACTATTATGATGTAGTGTCCAGCACAAGTAACACCCTTTTTTATTACAAAATTATAAGCATGTAATTCTGTAACATAACAATATCACATTCAAATATACCATATGGTGTTTTAGGTGAAATGTTCCAATTAAAAGTATAAATTACTACACCCGTATTATTACCCTACCAACTACATTCAAGCAGACCTTATTTCTTCCAGACCCTATACATAAAATTTATATATATATATAATTTTTACCCAAAGAACAACTTTACCTTTAAACTTTTTAACTATATTTTTAATAGCATTTCTAATGTTTTCAGGTATCTTGCTGTCAACAGAATAAACTTGTAAAGTTTGTTTTTTTAATTATATGGAAAAATCAAACTATTATTGAAATGAACTGATTTTCTCTTCAAAGCCTCTGATTTTATTAGTATTAGTCTGACATGTTTTAACTGTATGTGAACTCATTCTATCTATGGAGCCAATGGATTTATAAGGATACTTTAATTTTTGCATTAAAGTGTCTTATCTTTTTTAACTTTTGTAAAAATTAAAAAACCTGCAATAGAAAATGAGGGGAACAAGAGGGAGAGAGGGAGGGGGTAATGGAGAGATGAAGGGGAAGGGCCAAATCGAGGAACATGTATAAAGGGCCCATGGACAAAGCCAAAGTGGGGAAGGATTAAGGGTGGGAGGTGGGGGTGGATACGGCAGGGGAAAGTGGTGGCAGGAAAATGGAGAGAAATGTACTTGAACAATAAAAGAAAAAGAATGAGAGAAATAATTTTGGGACTGTCATTTGACCTAATGGTAGAAAGAAGGGGAAGGGATTAGTTGGATCGGAGAACATGGATGAATGACCCACGGACAAAGACAACAGCGTGGGGATTGAATGTGGGAGTTGGGCTGGATAGAGAAGTACAAAGGGGGAAATTGGGATAACTGTAATAGCATAACAATAAAAATTAAAAAACTAAATAAATACAAACACATGCTTCACGGAGTGATATGGAAGAATACCTTTTGCACGCACAACTAACTTATCACTGGCAGGCAGTGTTCTAAAATAATTATTATTTAAAATAGATGCTGGTGATTCTTCAACTAGTGTGTGTCTTCTGGTTTTCATATAAACAGTGGCATCACCAATACACTCTGGGGAATCATGAACAGTAACACAGTTTATGGAAAAACTACACATTTACTATCAAATTTATAGGGAAACAAATTTAAAATATTTTTATTAAACTGTAAATTGTTTCTTTTGATCTTATTACATGTTAAATATTTATTGAAGTAAGAAATAAATGTCAGCATACAATAAAATATGTAAATATTTGTATATTTATATCACGGGCTTGCATACTGTTTTCCTGTAAATGATTAGGTAGTAATTATTTTAGACTTTCTCGACTGTACGGTTTCAATTGCAGTAACTCAGCTCTGGTATGGTAGTGTGAAAACAGCATAGATAATATACAAATAAATACATTTATTTATGTTTCAATAAAACTTTATTTACAAAAATAAGTGGAAGGTTATATTTGGCTCAGTTATAGTTTACCATCCCCTGATTTATATCTTACAATAAATGACCAAATCTCTATAACAGAAACATATAGACATCTCTCTGTAAATTCTATGATAAGGCTACTTGGCATCAATTTATTTCTGATATAAAACAGAGACATAACTCATAATTTTCTGTGGTTCCTGCCGACCCAGCTTACTTGCAGACAGACAGCTTTCCATTCTCAGGGCAGCATGATCAGACCCTTTTCCTCTTGCCAACCGAGAAAAGGAGTCAGCTATTTGTGGCTGCTTGTGTCTTTAAAAGTCCACAAGTTATCCTTAAATGAGAGATATATTTTGAATCTGGAAATGACTGGTAAAAGAGAGGTAGATTATCACTGGTTAACTTGCTATTTATCCTCATGTTAAAATGATTCACTGCTTATGTATCTTCTACACTCCTTGAAAAGTTCATAGCAAAATTTAAAGTACAAAGTGGAGAATAAACACATCCCTGTTTATTTTAGCACAACTGTGAATAACTGCACTTGGTTAGAAAGTTCAGGACAAATGGGATTTTCATAATTAGGCAGAACTGACATCTTGGCAATATTCTGTTTTACACTCCATGAGCATAAAGTGGTGCTACTATGGGCAAAATACGATGATGACCATATTATAAGATCTAGTAGCTATAATACGTTGGAATTTTTTGGTACCTCCTGCATAATTCTGTGACATTAAGCCTTAGCCAAAAATGTACAAGAAGC